TGGGGGAGCTGAGCCCAGTGGAAGGGACAAGGGGCACGGCATGGGCTGCCTACAGTGGGCAGAGGGACGTGCACCTTCCTCTGCCCACAGAGAGGCCCTTAGCGGTGCGGGGGTCATATTGAAAGGTCACCGTGATGGTGACACCGGTGACCTGCAGTCCCTACAGCCTATTCTGTCGGCTGCAACGCAGGAGTCCCGGGTCAGCATTTACTGGGAACCCCGACTACGGGACGGGGGGCACAGGAGGGCCTGGGAAGCTGGGAGAGAGCAGGATCAGGGCAATCCCCATTTGAATCCATGCCCATTCCCCTTTCCCAGACCACACAGCCCTCATTTGGCTGGAAACAACCTGTCCCTGCATGCATGAGCCCTGGGCACCCTGGGGGTTTCAGTGTCGGGGCACTGTCGGGTAACCCGAACTCCCCAGGGGAGCCGGGTACTTCTGCACAAAATCCTGCCCCCCAGGCCCCATTTCTAGCCCAGGTCCCTCTGTGTCACCCCAGCTAAGACCAAGGCCTTGGGGCGAGGAGCCGGGTGCTTGTCCCGGCTGGCTCAGGCAGGGACCTGGCGCTCGCCCCGCGGCTCTGCAGTGGGAACTGCAGGCTCCTGCCACCTCCCGAGAGGCGCTCGGGTCTGGCAGTGCTTGTGCAAGCTGAGAGCCCTTCTCCCAGCCCGGCAGCCGCACCCAGCTGTCATCGCAACCACACACACGGGAGACTCGTCCATAATTAGACAATTAAGGCTGAGGTGTTTTGGAGAAAGCGCACATCGTAAAGGCTTTGCACAAGGCTGAAAGCAGACCTGGGAGCATTCTTGGAGTACAAAGGTGCATGGGAAACCTTGCCGCGATGGGAGATTGAACCCGATAAGAGGAGTTAAGAGCCTGAGAAATGCACTCGATTGCAGGGCACTGAAGATGCCTGGTTATCTTTTCCTCCTCGATAAGGCAGATAAGCAAAGGACAAAGGACCCGGGATTGTGCAACCTGGGCTGCAGCAGCCTGGCCACGATCTTAAGACGTTCCCAGGGTGGAGGAGGGAGGATGAGCTCAAGGCAAGAGGCACCTTCAGTTGCTATCATCTCCCTGTGCCGCTGTGGGAGAAAATTCTGCTGGCTCCCGCGCCCAGCGCTGGGCAGGAGCTCCAAACGGTCCCTAGCTCCTTCCCGGGGAGCGTTCGGCACGACACCGCTGTCAGCAGGTACATGCTGAGCCCTGCAAACCCACGGCCGCAAAAACGTCACCAGCTTCCTAGTCTGGCAGCGGTTTTTCATATGAGCAGACAAAATTCTTCTGAAAAGAGGGAGCTGGCAGAGCGTGACCCAGCTGAGCCCGGGGAGTGTTTCTGGCTGGTCTCACCACTGTAGCCCCCAGTCCCAGCCCTGCGCTGCAGCTCCTCGGTCCCCATTCTTGCCCCGCTTGGGGACAGACGTGAGCATGCTCCCGTTACCCTGTGGCGCCCCAGAGGGAAGAGAGCCTAAATGCATGGGGTTGCCCGGTCTGAGGGTGAAGGGGGCTGGGGAGCCCCTGGGTCCATGGGTGCAGCCCCTTGGGGAACTGTTCCCTTCCCTGCAGAAATGTGCAGAGCAGCCTGAGACATCTGGGGTGCCTTGGCCTCTCCTGCATACCGGGCCCGGTGCCAAAGCAGCGAGGGTGCACAGGCTGTTCCATGGGTGCAAGAGCCCTCCTGGGACAGCACAGGGATCACCTGCCCTTCCCACGTGGCAGTAAGATGGGTGCGATGCTCACAGCAAAGCCAAATGCTGTAAATCAGGGAAGCATGGCAGGAAAAAACTGCATCCACCCTCAAGGCTTTGGACATGCAGTGGCCTCTTCCCACCGTGCATCAGAGCCCCTGGCTAAGGGAAGTGGGTCCCAGCAGCCCATGCCCTCAGCTGTCCTGGTGCAGCGGCTGTAGAGGAGGGACCACACACCGTACTGGTGCCACCCTGGCTCGTAGCCACAGCACAGCCTTCCCTGCAATGCGGTCTTGCAGCTCTCCCTCCCACCTGCCAGCGTGCTGCCTCTGCTGGCTTTCACCCGGGCTCCGCCACAGAGCCGAGGGCCGGGAAGGGAAAGAAACCCTGAGTCACTGCTCGGGCTGGTGGAGGCAAGGCAGGTGCCCCAGCCAGGCTGCTCGGAGCCCCACCAGCCCCACGCCATCCTGTCACCCAGTGTGGGGACGGCCTGGCTGCTCCTCCAGAGCCCGCGGGGCTGCCCAGGGCTTATCCTGCACCTGTAGGATGTGACGTTGGAGGAGAAGATGGGTAGTGCAGATCTCGCTGGTCTCAAGTACCAGCTTTGGCTGGTCAGGGAGGATGCTCACCCAGCTTGGAGCTCCCCAGGGTGCTGCGTCGAGCTCCCCAAGCACCCCCGGCTGCTGCGCCTTCTCCTCCACTTCCCTCCAGCACAGAGCGGAGGCTCTGGCACGCCTGGTTAGCAGCACAGCCCAAAGGAAAGCAGGACCAGTTGTTTTCATGTTTTGCAAAATGTTTCAGACGGCAAGGGGTGATTTTATGATTAAAGCAGCCTTTTCTGTTTGGTGAACTCTAACCAGATCGAATGTGCTCGATCCTCGCCTTTCCCAGAGACCAGATTTCATCTGGCAGAGCATCCCCGGAGCACCGGTGCCCTGTGCCAGCTGGTTTTACCACACTGAGTAAGCAAGAAGCTTCCCCCAGCCAGACAAGAGCCTGTGACACATCCCATTCCCCCGGGTCATTTGGGAGCCCGCACGCTGCCAACAGCCTCCAGCGAGATCACGTCTTGCCTGTGGCGCGTGGTGACCCACAGCACTGCTGCCTTTCTCTGCCCCATCCCCTGCTAGGTCCAGGCACCCAAGCTGCTCAGAGCATCCCATTGGGCATCACGGGACAAAGGTGTCCAGGCTTGAAACTATTTCCAGCGCTTCCATCAAAGCCCTCATGCAGGGCAAATGCGGCTGTGTCAGGGAAAACGTTCCCTAAAACCTGGGAAAGTCCCAGGTCCAAGTTGGAGTGAGCTATTATAGGATGAATAATTTGCCTCTCATCACTTGGAAGCCCTGCCGTAAAAATCCGGGAGCCAAACGGAGTGGCACTAGCCCAAGTTTTGCAGCCAAAACGTGAGCAGCCCCAGGCTGTCTGCAGCCGGACCCCGGGACTCGGGAGCACCAAGGCAGCCGTGGGCCTATGTCGAGGGTTGGTCCTGCAGGATCCGTCCCCCTCCACAGCTGATGGGTGCCCCAGCATCCGTGGCTCCTGCTGCACCTGCCTGCTGCTCCCCGGAGAAGTGAACCCCCATTACCTGGCAAGCTGGAGGGGAAAGGGCATTTTCTTGCCAAGCAGCAGCATCTGGCCACGGTCCTGGGGGTTAATCCATGCCCAGTGGCATGAATGAGATGACATGGCCCAGGCTGGAGTCATGGAGCAGGGGCCAGTCCTGGCATGGGCGAGCAGCGGGGGGCTGTGGGTGCTGAGCTCCTCACGCTGTGCGCTGGACCACGGCTGAGGGCAGAGCAGGTCCCTGCCACCAGCCCCCTCCAGAAGGAAAATGCGAAGGAAATCAGGGAATGACTGAGATTTTCCATACGAATCCATTTCTCTGGCTGCCCAGCCTGTCCCAGCACCACCGCCGTCCCACCAAGCAATGGCAGGATACCGTCATCACACCCTTTCCCTGTTTCTCTTCCCCAAAACTTGACCCAAGTTGTGGGGCATTTTGGGGACAACCTAGTTGAGCTCACGCTGATACTCTCAATCCCAGCAGTCCCAAGCAGAATCTCAATAGAAATGGAAACCCCAGGGTGGTCGGAGCTCCTGGGGCACAGGGGCCTCCCCCCAGCAAGTCCCCAAGGGGCTTCACTTCGAGCCGGGTGCCACCTGCCCAGCTGTGCCTGCCTGCCCATGAATCACAGCTTCTATTTTATGTCTCCATTGCAGCAAAACGCCACCCCCCCCAGGATGTTGTGGCATCTTCAGTCCCTGACTGCGCTGTGTTGGAGGATGCTCCCCACTGGAGGATGCTCCCTCACAAGGCCATGCCCGACATGGCCAGCACGGGGCTCCCACCTGGCCCAGCGGATGGGGGTCCTTCCCTGTGAGGCCCCCCCCAAGGGGACACTGGGGACCCAGCGAGAGGCTGCATGGCACGCTGGGGACATGGGGTACTGCAGACATCATGTAAAGGGTAGAGCAAGGAGGTCCCCGAAGAGCCGGTGTGGAGGAGCAACGGTGCCATGTGAGACCCCCCCCAGCTCCATCATCCCCATCCCGAAGGGGGAAGGGGAAACCACTCACACGGCTGAAAGCAAACCACAGCATTTCTATTTCCCATACTCTAAAACTGGCTGAACAGGCCCGGCTGGTCGCTGGGTACACACACAGCCAGTGCCCTCACCAGAGAAACCGCTGGGGAGGATGCCCCAGCCTTTCGGGAAGCGCAGCGCTCCCAGGCTGCCAGCACCATCGGAAAAGTCACCCCACCATGTCCCTCGTCCCCAGAGCCACACGTGCGGTTCCCAGCAAAGCCACAGACGGCTGGGAGCGCCCAGCAGCTGCTGCTTCGCACTGCTCTCCCCTATCAAGCAGATGGGGAAACTGAGGCACAGCAAGCAATGCACGCGAGGGCTGGCAGCAGAGCCCGGGCTGGGTCAGAGCAGCGAGAGGGGCATGCTCCCATCCTGGTGTGCCTGTGGTGGGTACCACTCACCATCAAAACACGGCTTCCTGTGGGGAGGAGCGTGGGGGGACAACACAGGGACGCGGGCGGCCCCCCCCCCCCCCCCCCCCGAGCCGGCGGGAGCCTTGCTGGGCAGGCGGCACCTGGCTCACTCCTCCTGCTGCCTGACCTAGTTTAGGAGCCAGGGTGCAGGTGAGAAAGGCACCATTAGCAGCGCCAGCCAGGAGGCATTTCGCAGCCCGAGCTGAGTTTTCCAAGTCAGATGGCGATGGCCTTAGGCTGTCACTTGAGCCACTGCTGGCATGTCACCAAAGCAGGGCAATCCCATGCACGACCCAGTGCCTCACAGGGCAGCACTGGGCAGCCTGGGGAGAGGGCTGGGAGCTGCGCTCGGCATGCGCAAGCTCAACCAGGCACGAAGCGGGTTTGGAAGAGCTCTGCGGGTCTGCACCCAGCAGCAGGTTAGTGGCAGGGGACCCCCATTCCCCCTCTGAAACATCCCCAGCCTGAGCAGGACGGTCCCGCTCTGTCTGGGGCAGCGAGTCCCGGGCAGGAGGGCAGGGAGGGGGCCAGGGTTGGAGCATCACTCCCAGCCTTCGGCGCCCATCCGCTTACCTGTGCCGCCGTCCCCCGGCGCCTGCCTGCTGCCCTCCACCAGCTGCCTCATCCTCTCCCTCGTGACCTTCAGGTACTTGTTGCAGTTGCACACCTGGAAGAAGAGAGAGGGGGAGGTCGGCGACATGGCGGCCATGCTCCCCAGGCATCTCCTGCCTGCCTGGAGCACACAGCCCCACACTGGGCACCCCCGGCGGAGGCTAGGCAGTCCCCACTCACATGCATCACGGCAGAGGGAAACTGAGGGAAGGCCTGGCCCACCGAGGGGGAGTGGCAGAATGGCAGCAGACACAAATTTTGGCATTCATAAGTCACAAGAACCTCCTCTCCAGAGGCACTCCATCTTCACGGTGCTTAGCCACATCCTCATGCCAGGCTGCCCACCCTCTGGCAGACCTCACCCCCCAGCCTTACACAATGCCAGAAAACACCAGAAACTGAGCTTGCCTTAAAACATCAAGCAGACACCCAAAGTTTGGGCTGTGGCTTCAAGATTTGTTCTCTCTTGTCTCATAGAAGCTACGGAGGACGGCCATGGACCTCGAGACATGCTGGGATCCTGGCCGGCTGTGCTTGGCGCGGCTCTGCCGCAGAACCGCAAGCACAGAGGCACATTTTCTAACCCCACCTTTGGTTTGCCAAAAGGCACCCGGAGAGGCCTCTGAGCACCTACACGCACCAGGTGCCGGCCCTGAGGGAGCCAAACCCCTCAAGGAGCTCCCCAAACCCCACCGCCGAGGAGCACCCGTAGCCGGGTGCCTCGGGCTGAGCCCGGTGCGCAGTCGGTAGCTGAACGCGCTCGCCCAGAAGTGATCAGCACTAAATCTCCCCGGAGCATCACAGCCGGCTCCCTAACAGCTTTGCTCTCCTCTCCCCCTCCCTGCTTGGACGGGAGCTGGATGCTGGGATGTGCCACAACACCTTTCGTCAGCTATTTGTTTTTAGGGGCTGTTTTCTGCTTGCGGAGCATTTTGAGCACGCTGCACCCAAGGCAAGCAGGGAGAGAGGTGCATAACTTCACCGACCAGAACAAGTTCCCTGCCTGGGGCTTTGCTCCAAAGCCTGTTGAAACCAGAAAGGTTTTTCCACCACCTGACCAGGCACCGGCGCAGGCTCGCGGCGGCTCTGCCGGTTTGTGGCATGCTAGCTGGAACGGCGCTGGGGTCACGGCGAGGTGCAACGGTGCCCCTTCTTCCCACACAGCTGCCTGAAGGAGGATGGGGGGAGGATGATTTGTTTGAAAACGAGCTCACCACCATGGCCCGGCTCTGCCCTGCAGCAAGAGGAGGTTATTTCCACCAGCAGCCTCCACAAAACCAGCACACACTCCCCAGCCCAGGCATAATTTGGCCATAAAAGGATGTCCGGGCTCGGGTCCCCGAAGCTGCGCTGCTCCAGCTCTCAGAGCAGCAGCACAGACAGAGATGGGCAAGGTGCAATCTTGAAAGCACCCAAATGACGTGGAAGCCTCTGCATCACTTTTAAAAAGGAATTTTGCAGCAATTCCCTGATTTGCACAGCAAGCATCAGACAACTCCTACTCCTGCAAACATGGGTCAGACCCCTGCGCGCTGCTCCGGCTCACCAGCCCAGCTCCTTCTCGCTCACACTGGGGGCGAGCCACAAGTGCCGATGCTGCAGGGGCTGAGCGCGCTCTCCCTGCCCTGAGCAGGGCAAAGCACCCTCCTCGCTCTCACATTCAAACCCAAGTACCTGGGGAAATGAAACTGGGTGAAACCCCAGGGAAGCAGAAAGATGATGTTATTTGAGTGAACCTCAATTTCTGTGGAGCCAGATCAGCCGCTGGAGTTATCCGATCAGAAAAGAGATGCCGCTTTGGAGTCCACTGCCAGCCTCACGCGAGGGAGGGTTATACTGCAGCCCGCGGAGGCCACCTGATACCATCGGATCTGATCTCCTCAGGCTTCAGCTGTCTGGACTAACAAGGACTGGAGCTCACTGGCTCCTTTCCACACCTTCGCCTCCCCCTCCCTCAGCTCTGCACCGGCTCAGCTGTGCCTGCAGCAGAGCCCATCATCAGCTGGGCCAGATCCATCCTGAAAGATGGCTGAGAAAAAGGGAAGAGGAGCACGGATGGATCCAGGGGTGAGCTGGGAAGGAGACAGACGGGCTCCTTCTTTCAGGGCAGATGTCACCCGCAGCTGTGGGACAGACCCCGATGCTGCTGCCCAGTGGAGCCATGCTCTGGCCCCTGCCAGCTCTGATGGTGGAGTCAGTGCTGATGCTGCGGGATGGAACGGTCCCTTTGAGGCTTGAGGACATGCCAACCTGCACAGGCTGGACCTGGTGGCACAGGTGTCACCACCCCGGCAGCCACCCAAAGCCCTTGTGAGGCTCACAGGGCGCCTGCTGGGATTTGTGGGATTGCAACAGGCAGGCAGAGGTGACGGGCAGCTCCCAGGGACGTGTGCCGAGCTCTGCCCAGGCTGGCCCCGCTCCCCCGCGACAGTGACAACAAGGGGAGGGGGCTGCACGCTGGAGAAAGGCGTTGAGCCTGGCAGTGGGAGAGATGTGGGATGGCACCTCCCAGGCACGGCGGGAGCTCCGGCTGCATCGGGGTGTCAGAGGCTCCCAGAGAGGTCCCAAACCACCCAGCCATTGAGCTGCCACGCAGGATGGGCGCAGCAGGTGCCCAAGGGGCAAACAGCACTCTCCTCCCCAGCCCTCCCTGCAAGGCACGGACATGCACCCTGTGTGGGCATGGGCTCATGTCCCCCCCGTCACAAACACCAAATCCACCTTAACGCCCAGCATTAGCAGTTTGGAGCACGCCACAGTGTTTGGGCAGCGGTGCCAGCATGTCAGGCATGGGCTCCTGGCTCCCGCTCAGGTGCATGGAGTGACCTTGGGCAAATTTCTCTGCTTCTCTACAATTCATCATTGTTGTAAACGAGGGGCAATCCACCTCCCTGGGCCAGGTACACTCCCGCAGCCCAGGGGTAGCCCAGCATTTCCCACTCACCCGGGGCTGCCAGACGCTTGCCGTGAGACTTCGTGCCCCACGCCATCTCCCCAGCCTCTGGGCCTCGCCACCCCCAACTTCCCAAAAACATGGGGCGGGCTAAGGAGCCAGATAAGCCACTTAGCAGCAGCGCCAATTAGCTGTAATAAAAAATTGCAATTAATTTTTTTTAATGCCTTGCCAAAATGAGCCAGAAGAGATGAAGTGAGCAGGGCAGCCTGCCACCTCAATAAGGCCGGGCTGAGTGGCTGCTGTGCAGGGGCCGGTGGTGGCCTTGGGCTCGATGCTCGCCTGGGGACATAGCTCCCCACAGCTGCCTGCATCTCCGTGTCACTGCCTGGGGGTGTGGAGCAGTTTTTTGCATGGATCTTGCATTTGTTTTAAGGGTGGGGAAGTGGGGAGCCTCTCTGCTGGGCAAGGGATGGGTTTTTCCTCCTTGGGAAGGTTTGGTTTCCCCAGATCCATCGTGGCAGGATTAGTCGTGGCCCCCACAAAGTGGGGCAGATCCAAAGGCAAAAATCTTTGCTGTGGTGAGACAGCAGGAGATGGCGGCACCCCGGGACACTGCCTGGGGGTGCAACTGCTGCAAGCAGGGGCTATGACCTGACAGTGAAGGGTTTGGCTTTCACCCCGCAAACTTTTC